ACATAGAGGTTGTTAGTTGGATTGATAGAGAGGTACGCAATATTTACAATCATAATTATCTCAACAATAAAGAATAGTAATAACAAATTACAGGCAGCCATCTACCACCAGGTCGGTACATACCTCAGCCAATCTGACTGGCTAGAAAACAACTCACTTTTGCATTATAAACAACTCCGATTTATCCCCAAATGTTTCTAGTAGGAGCAGAGGAATGAATGCAGTGAGCACTGTATGCAGGCAGCCTCGACACTCAAAAATCAATTAATGCATTATCTGATGAATTCGTTGTTATTATTATTTTCAAACTGACAACTTTTCCACCAAATAACCACTATTATTATTACTATTATTATTATTACTATAATAATTATTATTATCGACCTTTTTATGGTTCCTCTCAAACTCATCACTGACTGATTGTAATTGGATTGGATGGAACGGAATAATTTTAAAAAAAACGATACAAGCAATGGAATCGAATAAAAAACTTCAGTTAAAGGAGAAATGAACTGAAATATCAGAAAACGAGCTCGACCGGACTGGACATACAGTCCCTGTTGGCCTAGGTCGATATCTAAGACAGGCCAAATTTATCATCCGATCTCCTCTTACAAACTGCATTCATTTGTGTCGTTCATTCAAAATACATAAATTCATACACATTTGCATTTCCTATTACCTATCTGCCGACCTATAGTCCATCCCCTTATTCACAGACGAACAATTATCAGTAAAAAATCTCATCATCTTACAAAACTTGAACTAGAGCTGAACCTAAAAGTCAATATAGTCCACGCATTCATCCGTTCACTCATTCATTTATCTACATACAATCCATCAAACTCACTCCTCAACTGTTCTCGTTTCGAGTTGAATTCCAAATTGAAAATGTCATATCGATGATGAAAATGATGATGTAATATATTTTTGTTACTTTTAATATTATTCAGAACGAAATGAGTGCCGGCAGGCGGAGTCTCCTTCGAAATATTTTACAACCAACCAACTGAACGAACGAACACACGCACACAGATAGATGATGATTATGATCAGAAATAAAACCTAGCCTGCAATAGCCAGTCGTCGTCCGGCCAAGCCGGGACAAGCCATTCATCCCTTTGCAATATGTTTCTAGCTTAACGCTTGCTTATGCCTCCTTGCTTCGTTCATTGCTAACCTCCATGTTTCTTTCCTAACTTTCCTGCTTGCGTGTTCACATTCACGCTCACAATTTGCACTTTACTATATGATGTATTTTTACTACTACTGCTCTTGCTAATACGACCAAAAATTCTACTAGCATTAATCGTTCGTAGTAATAATAGCTTCTGGCCAGCTAGCTCACGAGCTGGAATTGCATCTGCAACAACAACAACAACAACAACAACAACAACAGCGATAGCAGCAGCAGCAAATAGCTGCTAATCGATCGTTTATTCATCTATTTTATCTGTGTATTCGACTTAGCCTTAGTCTGCTTAAGCGGTCATCTAGATACATAAGCAGAACGAAAGACATGCACCATGCACAAATAATAATCACCATGCTTCACACATACAACGTCAATTTACAATGAATCTATGAGAGCGCTTAAGCATCTTATAAATTAAAGTGCATTTGTAGCTTATACGCCTCTACCAGACAGTCAATGACCTCACCAAATAAAACGCACACAGTAAAACCGATGAAAACTCGCTCATTGATCAATCTGCCTCTTCACTAATAATCCAATTCAATCGAATCGCTATTTTAATTCAAACAATGCTTTACGAACTTCCGTTCAACTTATGCACACACACAAACACATTTCATATCTTACGTATATCCCTCAATTATCCATTCATACCTAAATAAATGAATAAATAAACATATATATATACGTTTCCATGAATATATTACAAAACAAAAAAGACATTAAGCAAAATTTGAAAATCGTTAAAGCAGTAGGAAATATCTGCACTGAAACATTGTTCGTGTCAACCATCTGCCTACTAAAACGTCAACAAAACGTAGCAATTGAACTGCAAATTCCCCATCAAAAAACAAAAACATATCACGCAATAACTCGGTTCAACTTTCACCTCAAATTGATTCCTCTCAATATACAAAATAAGTTTAATACTACAATATAATATCAACAGTACAATTTTACTGATTGTACTTGCAACCTTCTGCAATCTATTCAAATAATTATTCATTTATTCAGTTTGATTGCTGATTCTTTTTCTTTCTCCTTTAGCCAATTTTCTGTTCGACGATCGCTCATTGATACTTAGTGCTTGCTGTCTATGTAATGCAATCGTGGTGGCCTGATGCCTTCAACCTAGCCTAGTCAGAATGTCAGTTCGTTCGTTCGAAGAGATCGATGAAATAACAAAAGATAGAGGAAACAATGCGGTTATATGTCAGGAAACTCAAGGCAGAGATGATGGAAAAGAGTGAAAAAGATAGGCATGAAACCTTAACAATTTCAGCTATTTTTCATTCTTCTCGAAAAATCCTCAATAATTATTCTGCATTCATTTCATTTTATTTCATTTCACCACTTCTACACCATTCTTAAAAGCATCCATCCATCTGATTATCTCTTCTCTCATCTGCCCATTCATTCATTTCCTTCCAAAACCACTCAGATTTACTGCGTAATAACAACTGTTTCTTCTTCAAAATTTATCTACTTATTCACTCACTTACTTATTTATTATTTACTTATTTATTTTCTTGCATTACTATTATTTACAAATCTACATGTATAAACGCATTCATTTAACTATTACTACTGTCCATCTCAGTTCACTTACTATAAAGCTACGAACGTTCGTCCGTTCATCCATCCATCACTTTCATTTCAAAAATACCGACAGAGATAACACTGATAACATCATATCACCTATAAAATTTGATGAAATCTAAAGCGCTCTATGAGCTGTGAACAGTTCGAATTGTTCACATAGCACAAGAGATCAGCTAGAGGAACACAGCAAGACGATAAGCAAAGTGTAATCTATCTACCTATCCGCTCAGACATCCATCCATAAATCCTATCACAGATACATGCTTTAACGCCTTAAACACAGCCTACATAAATGAATTAAATAAATACAATAAAGCGATTTACTTTCTGCTCTTTCTCTACCTATAACAACTAGATAAATTGCATAAAAAGTCTAACAATAAACCAAAAATGTGTCTCTCATCTATCTATCAACGTTTGAATCAAGCAAATAATTTCAGCAGTTTCATTTCACCACACACAAAACCACTGTTATACAACTACACATTCCTAATCTAAAAAATATTCCACACCGCCTTTTACAAAACAAAATAACGCTTATTCCTCTATTTATTCACTAACTCACCAATTCGCTGCAAGCATCATGGATGTCTAGCCAGATGGTTGGTTGGTTGATTAACCTCATATTCCTTTATCCATAAGCCTTAATCCTTTTCACCTTAATCTCTTCATAGGCCTATCCGTATAAATCTCCATCTATCCATTGGCTGTCAGTCTGTCAACCTTTCGGCACATACCTACCTAACTAACTATATGCTCGTATTCTGCCTCTGATGCTATCCCATCCAATCTGCAATACAATAACAAAATCAGCAATAACAACAAAAAATTCCATGTTCTATAATATCACATATTATGTTCAAATACACAAAAACATTCGCTATTTCATTCAAAAATTTCATTCGATTAAACTACTTTTATTTCTTCATAAAATGCGCTAATTCAATTTCATTTCATAACTCATAAAATATCTCTTATATGATGTACTACCAACTTATTATATTATACTTACTGGATTTCAAAATGTCATTTTGTTTCCTTCCTTCAAGCAATACACAAAACCGCCATAAATACTAATTTACTTCAGCATATTTTTCCTCTTCATCAATCTCTCCACTCATAGCTCACACATCATCTATCCGACTAATTGTAAATCTACACTTCAAGCATCTGTCATTATCCATTTATTCATTCACTCTTCTACATTTCCATCTATTCACCTCAGTATTTATTCATCTACCTCTGCTGGAAAATTTCTTCACCATAAATTTTCACATCACATAACGAAGACATAAAATATTCCAACAGCTTTCTTCAGCATACACACACAGCAAACACAACCTTCTTATAATAAAATTTTAAAAATAGAACATCGAGCAACAAGCATAAATTCCCATGCATATGCATAGGAATTTATGCTTGTTGCTCAAATCACTACTGAGTTATTATATTACCACATACTTGTTTTTAAAACAAAATATTTCGAAATCGTATGTCAATATGCATCAAGTGTGTGAAAGAGGCAAAATGAAAATTCATCACTAAGATGAGAACGTGGAATACGGTGGAATTTAAAACTGCGTTAATTGCAAGTTTGTTAGCGGAATAGAATGACGAATGGACGGATGAATAGACAGAAGGATCAACTAAATATAAATAAAAATTATGGTTTATGAGAAAAATATTTTATGTCTAGTAAGGTACTGGCCACAGCTAAAGCTTAGCTTGAACTTGAGTTAAAACTAGTTCCCACACTGTCTTGCAAAAATCATAAACATATATTATATTAACCTTATTACAACATCATTCATTCACTTCTATGATACATCACAAACGATATCCTACGCACCAATATCCAGATTCATCACGTTCACACAAAAAAACTCATTCTAGTTCTCAGTGAATACATATAAAAATAAACTTATCAGCTAGCTCATATACATCTCATACATATATGCGATATGACGGCCATTCCATAATTAACATAGCACTTTAGATACGTGGGTGAGTCAAAACGTCGTCATTTATATGCTTTGACAGAACGCTTTGAGGGCAAACGTGTACACGGATGTTTTCGAGTAATGGCGAACTAGCCTGCAAGAGCTCTATATTCACGGCAAGTTAGCATACATCCATCGATATTAAAAAACTCCACTTTCAGATCCCGGTCAGTTTGAAAATTTTACTGAAATCTGCTAGCACGATGATAACTAATGCCACTGGTGTCCTGGAGAAGGTTTATGTGAAAGAGACTCCTCAGAAAACAACGGTTTTATCGCATAATTCAGAGATTAGCGAGAAGATCTCAAAGTTAATGCAGAAGAGCGGAGGCTGGCAACGTCAACCAACACTGTCGCAGTTCAGAAGCTGGTGCAACTTGAACGGTGCAACATCTGACACGGTGCAACTTGAACGGTGCAACATCTGACACGGTGCAACTTGAACGAATTGAATGAAAAGCAAGCTTTCTGCTCGGTGTGTACCAAAAGCGTTGTGCGATGACCAATGCAACCAGCGAACTGACTTGGCACTCGAATAAAACAGAGATTAATGAAATGGATTCCGCACAACGAATAGTATTGAGTGATCGAAATTGGAACTACAAATGTGATCAACGATGCAAAATTTAATTTGAATAGTGACTTTCGAGGAGGTCAATGGGTCCATTCAAGGTGAGAAGTTTCGGAAGAAAGTCATGATAACTGGTTTTTGGGACTGGAGAGGATGGATCCTCATCTTTTTCTTGGAGAAGCCACCATAATAACAGGTTCACATTATGAACACGTTTCGCATAAACTCAGCAACAATATCTTTACAAAAAAAGAAGAGGAAAGTAGCATCGCTGAAACTTATTCCATCACCACAACGCATCCGCACGAGTTACGAGAGTGTCATACTTGATAAAATTCATTCGAAAGCTTTCTCGTACTCCTGATTTGGCCCACCTGACTCCCTCTTGTTGCCACACATCAAAAAAAATACGTGAAATTAGCGCAATCTGAATCTATAGATGAAGTGAAACAGGCCACATTAATATAGTTTTGTTCGAAAAGTCAGAATTTCTTCAGAAATGGACTGATCGCATGGAAACACCGTCTGGAAAAGTGTGTGCAACTAGGTAAATACGGTACGGAAATACCAACGTTCTAGTTTTACTGCTATTGTACAAAAATTTTCAGATGAAATTTTCCACGAACATTTTAACTCACCTACGTTCTTTCGATGTTCAACATGCAATGCGAAAAATTTCATATACATTGTTGTTATTATTATTAATATTATTACTATTATAAGTAGTACTATACCATTACTACCAATTATAATCATTCAAGAAAACGAACAAACCAGTAAATTATTATCTGTATAAATAGCTGGTTTCGTTATGTATTGTCAACGAGCTGTTATTGTTGCTGCACATTATAATATAATATACTATACTATACTATACAACATTTAGTTGCAATACTTAGTGTGATTTATTAGAAACGGAAGTAAGTTTAATATTTTCAATCATGAATACATTCACCCATCAAAAAATATATATCCGAAAGTGCAGGCACGTATAATCTGTAATGAATACGCATAAGTGTCAATCAGATGAGAACATTTTTCCAGAGGCATTTTTCTTTTCACTGAAAGAATGAAGAGAAAACAAGAGAATAATAACAGAGTTATGCACAGCAAAATTGCCATGCGGAATTAAGCGGGAGTCAGAAAACTTGTTCGAACCATACGATTCAAAACAACACTAAATGTGATTTTACAAAAACTTATCTACTCATCCATCTGTCCAGTCATCCATCTACCTGTCCAATTATAATACATCCCGCCCAGCTAACATACAGCATCATCTAAACTCAGAATCATGTACCAATAGAAACAAACATGTAAACATACAACCATAAAAAACTTGTTGCAATTTTGAAAATTCCTTAAGAACAAAATTCTTCGTTTTTCTTCTTCCATATTTTATTGAATTATTTATGTGTTCATTCTCATCGTAATGCATTCCATTCATATTGCAATTTTCACAATTTTAAGTGCTGAACCACCTCTAAAATGACAACAACAACAATAACTAATCCATTCATTCATCAATCGAAATTAATTTTTACCTTCTTAATAAATTAACCATCAAAAATAATTCAACCATAAACCAATCCAACAATATTTGCCATATATATATATATATATAT